TGTTGCAGATAGGGGTAGGTAGACATGTTTCTGATAGGGGTGTGCAAGTGGGGGTATGTTGCAAAGGGCGGACGGGGGTATGTTGCAAAGGGCAATATGTTGCCCATCGGGTATGTTACCCATGGGGGTATGTTGCCCATGGGGGTGTGCTGCAGATAGGGGTGTGTGGGTGTGTGGGTTGGGGGTATGTTGCAGATGGGGGCATGTTGCCAATGGGGTATGTTGGGGATGGGGGTGGGTTGTGGATGGAGATAGTTCACGGATACAAATGTTGCAGAAAGGGGTATGTTGCGGATGGGCAGGTATGTTGCGGATGGGCGGGTATGTTGGGGTGGGGGTATGTCAGGTAGGGTTTTGTCGAGGATGGGGGTATGTCGTAGATGACGGTATGCTGGGGATGTGGGTAGGTTGTGGATGGGGATAGGTTGCAGATAAGGGTAGACTGCGGATGGGGCCGTGTTGTCACGCGGGGATACATGGGGCCCAAGCCGGGCTGGGGCTAGAACCCTGCACCACCATGTGCAACATAGCCTTTGCAGATGGGGGTATGATGCATGGGGGTAGGTTGAGGATAGGGCTAGGTTGCGGTTGGGGGCAAGTTCCAGATGGGGGCATGTTGCGGATCGGGTACGTTGGATGGGATTGTGTTGCGGATGCGGTCATGCGCTGGTGGTTGTCAGGATAGCTAGTATTGTAAATGGATGTAATTTGGCATCTTAGGACTATGATAGAGTCTTCAGGTTCAAACTCCCCTCAGGTTGGTGTACCAAGAGAGGATTCTAGGAGAGGCCTTAGGAGCGTGATCTGCAGGAGGCAGGAGGTCGGCAAGGTGGCTCAAGAGAGGTGATCTCTCTCGATGGTTCCTGAAAACCTGGGCTTTAGGAGGAGGTCAGCTTGTAAAGGCCGATGTCGAACTCTGAGCTAGGAAGACATACACGATGGCTTTTGGGTGCAAGGTTTCCCAGATTTCTCTGCCTTCTCCATATCCAAGAGGCGAGGCATAGTTGCCATCAGCACGGTTTGACGACTTTCTTTGGTTTGTCTTTAAAACCATCGCTATGTCCGAGACTCTTTTCCGAACCAAAATCGTGCTGCGGGTTAAAAAAAAAGGAGCCGGTGCAGCTGTGACTCTATTCTGTTTGGCTGGCAGTGCCAGCCCTTTTGCTCTAGTAACCCTGTGCTCCTGAAAGTCTCGGGTGTAAGCAAACTCGCTCATTTTTTGTGCCCGGGCCACGTGGTGATGATTAAGCAGACATTATTAGATGAAGTTCAAGTTGTATCTCATTCAATGATGTTTCGGAAGTAGGCACACTCTTCGTGGCCCTTTTTA